TTGGAATTATTTCACCAAAGGATTTGTGCTTAAATATGTCCTGGTAAAATTAGGTGATAAGGATCCTGTGTTTTCGTTGAAGAGTAATGCTGCCTGCTGATGGTGCTACATGTAACATTTAAACCTCACCTTGCACACTTTATTCCAAATATACATTAAGCACATTATGTTTAAATCCAAATAAGACCGCTGTAATTCAACTGACTGTAACTGAAGAATATTTTTTTTTTCATTTTTTTAAAAAATGTATTTATTTATTTTTTATTTATTTATTTGTTGGTGGTTTTTTTTGGTTTTTTTTGGGTTGTTTTTTTTTTTTTTTTGGGGGGGGGTCTGTAACATTTATCCTCAACATCATAGGCGTAGTTTTGTTTGTTTGTTGATTAATGATGCTCTCAGCAATATTCCCTGCGCATGAATCGAATCTGGGTCAGACAATTCAGTGATTGATACTGGATCAACGAGGTAGAGCATACCAAAAGACGTTAAAAGATGGTACTTGTTGTTACCATGTCTGGCGCTCGGCATTAAGGGGCTAAAACAAGGACTGGTCGGCTCGAAATCGGTACACTGTGTCTGAGTTGGAGATTTATGTTAAACTGCGGCATAGTATCTCAGTGAGCTAGCACTATAAATCGGCATCAGTCCGGACTAGTACAAGCAGCCACACAAACACACACACGTACATGCACGTCGCTATATAAGTGCAATAATCTTGGACGCGACGGACTGATGCCGATTTATAGTGCTAGCCCACTGATATAACACTGCATTTAAACATGAATACCCACTCAGACACAGTATACTGACTCCGAGCCGACCGGTCCTTGTTTTAGCCCCTTAATGCCGAGCGCCAGACAGGGTAACAACAAGTACCATCTTTTAACGTCTTATGGTATGATGCGGCCGGGGATCGAACCCCTGACCTTCCGCTCTCCAGGCGGACGCTCTAACACTAGACCACGGAGGCGGTCTTAAGCAGGAAGACATAAAAACATTCATGTATCGAGCTTAAAAGTAGTTCATGATAAAGGTCCCCGTTTCATACAAGTATTTGTCAGATAGTGATAGTTTATCGGGTTGGAAAATTATTAATCGATAACACTATCCATTATGTGATAAAACAGTTTATGAGAAATCCCCTATGCTTTGTTAAACGTTAATAATTAAATACCAACACAGAACCATGTGAATAGAATGCATTAGGGGTTTATGCGAATAATAGCTAAATTGGTATGGTTATTTAAATTAGAAACTAGGCCAGTTACATAGTTTGCATTTATAGCTACATTCTGCAAAAGGTAAGGGGGCACGGTGGCCCAGTCGTCTAAGGCGCCGCGATTCGCTGTGCAGAGTTGCGTCCCTTGGGAACGCCAGAAACCTATGATTGTGGGTTCGAATCCTGGTTCGCCCCGATTATGTTTCTAGGTTTGTCAGCACCATACCCATGCTCGTAGGTTTCACCGAAGTGGTAAACGTCTGAGACCTGCATCACTTCGGGCTTTCCTCCCACATTAAGCTGACACGCCGTGATATAACTGGAATACTGTTAAAAGCGGCGTTAAACCCAACTCCAAACTTACTGTAAAAGGTAAACGCTGTCAACAAAGTGAGCCAGAAGAGACAACATTCTTTGCGTACATGTTTCGTAATTGTCATCGTGGTGATTTGTGTTCACATTTGTTCTTCATATTCTGCACTGACGTATTTCCACGTGAGGGACCCTTTCTTTGAGTGAGTTAGTGAGTGAGTATGGTTCTACGCCGCTTTTAGCAATATTCCAGCAATATCACGGCGGGGGACACCGGAAATGGGCTTCACACATTGTACCCATGTCGGGAATCGAACCCGGGTCTTCGGCGTGACGAGCGATCGCTTTTACCACTAGGCTACCCGACCGCCCCCTTTCTCTGACATCAGTTAAAAGTTTTGCGGCTACCGATCAATCAAATGGTATACTCCATAACACAATGCATGTAATATTACATTAAAGTGATATATTGTGCAACATGGCCCGTGTTGTAGAGCGAGTATCAAATTTGGAATCAAGTGCTTCTCGGACGATCATCACTCGAAGCCAAAAACTATCATAAATATGATTTCATGCTATTGGCAATATGGCTGAATCAGTGATCTTTCAATTCTTGAATGTTGACAGGTTTATAATGATCCTTCCAGATCTGTTTATGTAATGAAATTGAAAGTCGGTTTCAGTTCTTACATACGGTCCCTTCCGGCGATAATTCAACCAGTGATCACAATATTACAAACTCATGTGTTTGACTGACACCACGAGTTTTCAAAAACAAGAGCTGTGGATTGCTTCAGTTGCAATTCAATAACTGTTATAAAGCAATGTGGCTCGCGGGGACGGGTTTATAAATTATTCACACGGACGTAGCGACCTCAGATGTCAAAGATCACACACTGAAGTGTTAAAGGTAATAACTGATTGGACATGGGAATTTTTTTGCATAAAAAAGAAACCGTTTTATTGCAGATAACGATAACCTGATTCACTGATATTGGACCCGAGAAGATCCGGGGTCGAATAGGTCTTCACTTACCCATGCTTGCCGTAAAAGGCGACTATGCTTGTCGTAAGAGGCGACTAATGGGATCGGGTGGTCAGGCTCGCTGACTTGGTTGATGCATGTCATCGATCCAAATTGCGTGGATCGGTGCTCATGATGTCAATCACTGGACTGTCTGGTCCAGACTTGGTTATTTACAGACCGCCGGGCTATAGCTGGGATATTGCTGAGTGTGGCGTAAAACTTCAAACAAACAAACAAACAAACGCTGATTTTGGTGCTCCTGTAACAATGAAACACTGGTTAATGTCAATTCACCCATTTAACGTTACCCTGGTAGTCCAGTGGTTTAAAAATAGAGACTATATAAAACATATACATGTTATCTATTGAATTGCAGACCCGTGAAGATCCGGGGTAGAATAGGTCTTTAGCAACCCATGCTTGCCGTAAAAAGTGACTATGCTTGTCGTAAAAGGCGACTAACGGGATCGGGTGGTCAGGCTCGCTGACTTGCTTGATGCATGTCATCGATCCCAATTGGGTGGATCGATGCTCATGATAGTAATCACTGGATTGTCTGGTCCAGACTATTATTTACAGACCGCCGTCATATAGCTGGAATATTGCTGAGTGTGGCGTTAAACAACAAACCAACCGACCAACATTGAATTGCAGGTTCGACCCCAGTTGTCGCGTAAGCTTTTCACACACACTATTTTGTTAAAAACATTTGGCATATTCAAACAGTGAGGTTTTCATTTAAACCGTTGCGTGTTGGCTTAGTGTGAGGTTGGTTGGTTGGTTTGCTGTTTCACGCCGCACTCAGCAATATTCCAGTTATATGACGGCGGTCTAAATAATCGAGTCTGGACCAGACAATCCAGTGATTGATATCATGAGCATAGTGGGAGGGAAAAGTGGGTACAGCGGGTACCCCTTTCCAAACTCACCAAAAAGGACACATGTCCGATTATATTTCAGTGTAATATGATACCAATACTTGTTTGTTTCCTGAAACAGTCACATGACCAGTTGGATTTGGTAAATCTATCAAAGGCACGCACGTGGGACACTCACTGGTTTATTTGCGAAGTGATAACCATTAACGTTGAAACATGTTATTCTTTTTGCGGTTAGCTTTCTCCTTAGTAATAGTGGGTTAGTGACTCAGCGAGTGAGTTGGGGTTCACACCCCAATATTCCAGCAATGACACGGCGGGGGACACCAGAAATGGGACTCACACATTGTACCCTTGTGTGGATTCGAACCCCGACCTTCGACGCTATGAACGAACGCCTTAACCATTAGGCTACCATCTCACTAGTTGTAAGGAAAGTGTAATTATAATGTTGGATGAGATCTCTCTTACAACGTGTCACTTTGTTAGTCATCATGTCCGTTCTTTGTACATATCAATGCAAAGCAACACAAAGAAGTAAAATATGTTCATCGCGTTGTAAGATAGATATGACATTTTTGCAATAGAAGTACAAATACTATACAGTGATAATATTGTCCTAGTTTCGCCAAGGAACCACTCATCGTTAGTTTAACTTCTACATCCACCCTCGGGCGATTAGATGCAAAAAGAACATTTGAAAAGATGACATGCAATTGAAACATAATCTCTTGCCAAGCTTCGTTCTCAATTCCGATTTGAAACCTTTCGCTTGATAGCCAGCTTTTCATTACAAAAGCTCTATAGAAGAGTTTCGGATTATATTGGACTAATTACTCAATATTGAATTAAGATATTGATTAAACATATTCAGCAGATAACCTATAGCGTCAACATTCAATACTGTTGCATCGCACTTCGTCTACAGCGTAATCATGTAATACGCAAGGGTGTTCAACACGATGCTGCTTCATAACCTTTAAAACATTTCCCAAGCTTCCACTGAACTAATGTAAAATGTTTAAATAGAGTGGACATGACATTGATATATGAATGAAGCTTCAAGGAAGACCCTCCGCATTACCACATAAGCCTTATTGGGAGAACGACCAGATGAGCAAAATATATGGAAAGCATTCCACCATTGATGCCGCTACTTCGTAGAACCTTACAATTAGCCGGCAATGATGCATTTCCTTTGAAGACAGTGCTGATGTAAATACGGTTCTGTTTCATATACACTTAAAAAATCGATAGTTTCTGTTTGTATATTAAGACTATGAAAAATGCATGGTAATCCTCAAGTTGTTTCCCTTCTGTTCCTATAAAAACTTGTCTCGATTGGTCTTTAAAACTTCCCGACTGCTTATCGGCACGGCTCTGGCCCATAATCAATGATTCAGTGAGGTGAAGCATAATGACTCATGGTCTGGGTAAAGGGTAAGGCATTTGTTATGGAGTGACACAAAGGCATATTTTATAATACATAGCATGTGTGTTCTCGCTCAGGAAGTTTCAGGGTTGAGAACGCAGCCAGACAGACAGCCAGCCGCAGTGTGCACACGGTACAGTACAAATACAGGGAAACGGTTTGTGGGAACACGATAAGCTACGGAGGAGAGCCGGTGATCTTAGATATCTTAACAGGTCCATCAAGGAACATGCAAGAACGTGATTTGTTGGATTATGCCTCTACCCGCTGTTCTGTGCTTGCCGTTTTGTGATAGATTATTCACTCTCCTGCCATTTCTATAGTCAGTTGCTTAAGAGTGCGGGGTTCAGAAGTCAATGAGCAAATTGAAAGTAACTGTGAAGTCCGGAGTCTGTGATTGGCTGTTTGTTTTGAAGCTGTGACACACCAAGTGAACAGGAAGCTAGCATCTATGGGGCTAGTATGACAACTTCTGTGACTCCCAACTGTGAGCGACCCTCAGACTGCCATTCTTTCTGGCAAATTGGTTTCATTAACACATGAGTGAGTGTCGGGGTAGTTACGTTCATCCTGGCATGCCGCCTCTATTCTGTGGCTGAGGACAGCATTCGGACCAACTGTTATCTATTGCAGAACACGTTAACAGATACAGATTAACTCCGTGAACCGTTACAATGGGTTTTCTGTTATACATGCAGTCATGTGTCATTGTGAATCTCTTCCTGGTTCCTTCACTAGCATCAGGTGAGTGAGAAATTTCATATTTGATTACGCTTTCAGAATATATATATATATCTGTTCGAATATTAGATTCATTTTTAAGGTGGACATATATGCTTTGTATTTATTAATACATTAAGTTTTTCATGAAATGTTTTTTCACTTTAAAAGATATCACCGATGTTACCGCACACATTGACTTTGTACTGGTTAAAATAGCAGGTATATTGTTAACGGGATATTTTATACATGTAAATAATATAGGTGTAGATTATTTATGGTCAGAGGTTTTAAAATAAACAATTATGAGGGAATTAGTTTTTTAAAAAGTTTGCGTTCATATCTAGACACTTGCTGAACACAGAGATTTCACTGATTGTTTAATTTTCTCACGTGAAATTCCTCGTGTCTCTCAAACACCCCTGAACCAGATTGGATGTCTGATTACCTTCACGTTGAATATTCATCACATGCTAATGAGCTGGAGGAGATTACCGTCTGTCAGATTGCGTATGGCTATCGTTACCGCAGATATTCTCATACCGTATATGACTTGCCTCCCGTTGCTGACCTTTATTAATGGCGCAATTTGCCATGATTGATGACTTGGGCCGAGTGTGTCACTCGAGAGGGTCTAAGAAAGATCTTCCGATTCCTCCCAGGGAGACGCGATCCCTCTATTCTGGAAGGATCAACCGTCTTCCAGTATGCCAAGAGTCATTGGTTTTTAAGCCAACATAAATCCCTTAATTCAGTTTCTCACTGCCTCGGCTTACTGTGGGCTAACGGCGGGGCCGTTGCGTGATGCGCCTCCTGACGAAAACGCCTGCGTTATTAGAAAACTGCTTTTTTTCGCTTTTCTCAAGTTAGCTACAATTTTTGTCAAAGGCTCCGACGGGAATCCTTCACTGTTAATCCTAATGGAATGTGTTTGTACTGCACGTTTGTAATTACATACGTCCTAAGCAATTTACAACTTGAACAAACATTAACAAACCTACTTCAAATCTCTTTTTATACCTGCGTTAATGAATTCCCCTTTCTTGTCACATACACCATGCTTTAACGCCGAGGAAATGATCTTAATGGGCGGAGATGGAACGACGTATATTATTGCAGAAAGAGTCAGATATTGCCGGAAAATACCGACAGTTTAAAACCCATAGGGGGACGGATAATGGGTTATTAGTTTTAGTAATTCCAGCTGAAAAGGAACTTACACTTATCCGTCCCTATTGTGGTATTGTTTTATTGTTGGGGAAGCGGCCCTTGGCATCATGAAGTCACTTTAGTACCTTTAGCAATCAATTTAGGACGGTGTCATGCACTGTTTTCGGCACGCTACCCAACGTCATAGTGTGACATAAAAGCAGCAGTAAGCAGCCCATGAATGACCGTTTTCCTGACATATTTCGATACGTATTCTTACTTAAAACAATTTATATTGTTCGAAGTATAACCTTTTCGTTATTCGCAATGAAGAATTTCCTATCTTTCATAAATTAATGTTGCAAGACCCTTAGATTGAACGACTTTGAACTTAACAGTGAACATTTGACCCATTTTCATCCTTAATATTATACAATATAATTGTTATTTTATGATTGTATTGTTTTGCTTATGAGCAAAACGTTTTGAAATGAAACATTCAACACTTTGAATATCGGGTATCCAACAACAGGTCACTCACAGCGATACGTTAATGGTCCAGATCCTGTCAGCCCAAAACCCAGGATACTGGACAATTACAGTCGGTAATGACTTGAATGTATTCAAAGGGACGTGTCTCTTTTCCACGATCCGTTAATAGGTGCGGGGAAAATCGACATACCATTGCTTTGATCACGGCGTGTTAGCTTGTTGTGGGATGAAACCCCGAAGTGAAGCAAGTCTTAGCCGTGATTACTTTGAAACCCTCGAGTACTCAGCACCCCAGTAGGACTGCTATCTGCAAACGTTACATCTGCGCAACCTCTTCCTGAGACGTCATCGGCATTGCTGGAACTGGAAAAGCTCACAATCCCCACCGTGGAATGGCCTTGACCCGTCAACACTGGCGAAATATGCGTGTGGCGACGTAGGCATCGACGTGATTGTTCAAGGGTGCTGTTCATCGACGAGAGCGTGGTTCAAATCCTGATGGTCGGATACTGGTGTATCAACGGAAAGGTGATCGATTCGCTCTAGGATGCATTCAAAGGGTTGGCCCTTCTTGGGTCGGTTGCCTTATGGTGTGGGGCGGGATTGGTGGTGAGAGGAAGACAAGTATGGTCGTCATCCGTGGAAACGCGAACGCCCAAAATTACTTAGAGGTCGTTCTGAAGCCATTTGACCTTCACTTCTCAGAAGACAGCCACAAGAGTTACTGTTCCAACAATACAATGTCAGTCCCACACTGCTCGAATAATCCAGAAGGTTCATATCGAATCCGTGTCACCCTGGCCGTCACGCCCATCCGACCTCTCACCCATAGAACATCTCTGAAATCATCGTGGGCGACAGATACGACAACGTCCAAACATGATGGACAACGTACAGCACTTACTGGAGGTGTAGGATCACATACCCATCGGTACGTCATCGGTGAGACATCGTGTCCAGGCCTGTCTGGACGCCCGAGGACGTCACGCAAGATATTGATGCCATTACCGAGGTGCCATGAAAGCTTTCGGAAGCTTAATTATCAGACATTCATCTTCTGTTTTTCGTGTGAAAAAATGTGAACACTTATGACAGATGCATTTGATTTGGTTGAATGAATTTGCATGAAGAGCGCAGGGTGGGTAGTCGTTAGATAAGAAACAAGAGTATGTAAAATACAGTGAAACCGCGTTGTGTCGAACTCGTAGGGACCTGGAAGAAGTTCGAGTTATCAGTGAGTTTGATTTTACGCCGCTTTTAGCAATATTCCAGCAACATCACGGCGGGGGACACCAGAAATGGGCTTCACACATTGTACCCATGTTGGGAATCGGCGTGACGAGCGAAAGCTTTAACCACTAGGCTACCCGACCGCCCCTCGAGTTATCAGGGGTTCGAGACATTATGGGAATGTTAGGCTTAAATTAGACATTTATGTCTCTCAAATGAGTTCGAGACAACCGGGAATTCGACACAACGAGGGTCGAGTGTAAATATGTCGTTATTATAATATTATACAAAACAAATCATAGGCCAGACAAAAGTACTATTCCAAATGAAACTCTGATCTTGCGGGAAGAAAATCAGCATTTAGTTTGATATTCATAACAGATATCCAGGTATTCCCGCCCAAAAGTGACTTCAATATAAATAAATGCACGAGACCATGTCAGTGAGTGAGGGAGTAGGGTTTAACGCCGCTTATAACAGTATTCCAGTTATATATCACGGCGTGTCAGCTTAATGTGGGAGGAAAGCCAGAAGTGATGCAGGTCTCAGACGTTTACCACTTCGGTAAAACCCACGAGCACGGGTATGGTGCTGCCAAACCTAGAAACATAATCGGGGCGAACCAGGATTCGAATTCGCAATCAAAGGTATCTGGCGTGCCCAAGGGACGCAACTCTGCACAGCGAATCGCGGCGCCTTAGACGACTTGGCCACCCGTTCTCCCGAGACCATGTCATATTAATTGACACCCGTTGAATTATTTATGCATAAAAAGTAGAAACGTTAGTCAAATTGTTGATTAAATTTAAATGTTAGTATTTTCCACCTGAATGATTTTAAACTAACTAGAATCGCTTGTGAATGAAAGGTTAATGGTATCAGTAGATATTCAGATGTAGGTAAACTGTACAGTATCTATTTATGTAACGACCAAATCTTGAATTAACAAGACTGATTTCTAGATACCTGTACCAACATGTAACGTTTTGAATAGTGAGTGAATAGTTTTGTCGTTTTAAACAATATTCCAGACATATCACATTCGGAGAATATTAGAAACGGGCTTCGCATTTTGTACCCATGTTCGGGATAGAACTCATCCGGAATAAAACAATGTTTCACTATCTCCCCTAATTGATCAATAACCTGTAATATGCCAATATGCCAATATTAGCATACAGTGAATTATCCTGCAAGGAAAATGCATTTAATTGATAGGTTCAATCCATGTATAACACATGACGAACTTGTGCAAAATACGTTTTGTACGACTAAATACTTATTGATATTTATGCAAAACAATTCATCGTGCTTAAGCGGGAGAATGAAAAATTGCTCTCGTTTCTATCAGCTGTTTCTTGCTGCTATCGTGTATGATGTTAAAAACCATGCCATCAGCTGTCAATTAAGCTTCTATTTATAATCCCTTTTATGCGGATGTTCAGTAATGCTTTGTTCATAATGACATCTTTGCCTGAAATGATATTAGCAGGAGTTTATTTGTAAGATTAACATTACGCAGTGAATCAAGTACCATTTCGTTCATTTCAATCGAAATTTAGTTTTACAAAATGGAAATGCCCCAAAAACCTTCAATTCCTCAGTTTCATTTTCTGAAAGTACAGTGTATTAAAAATGTTACATGAATAGCTTATCGTCGAAACAGAAGCGTACAGGAATTATAAGAAACGGCCCTTCCTGGTAATGTCTTTAAAATGACTCGTCTCGTAACCTTTAACACTCTCTCAACTTACGCTTCCTTTAATGAGTTCTTCGAGCGGCACCATTCGAGAGATAATGCCTCAGTTCTATGAACAAAGAAACGATTAAACATGTAGTGTTAGTGGCTCTCGCTGAATAGCTCTATGCATTATTAAGAGTACATATCACGCCTGATTTGACGCTGACCGTTACGGAACCTTAGTCGCATCAAGTACTTCATGTTCGAGACATGTGGTTCTGGTCGGGTCTTCTGAAGGTTTCAATTAGGAATTCATGTAAGTCTTGGGTTGCAAAAACATAATTGTGGAAGGGGATGCTTTTGGAAACGTTGAAGGAAATCAACTCGTTACTTAGTGAAAGAAGCCTCGGACCTTGTTCTCAGAATCAATACGTTTCTTTTATGGCTGGTGAGGAATTGTGGAGATGGGAGA